ACCTCCTCCCAGCTATCCAAATCTAGTCTGTAGGCACGTATATGATACCGATAATCCACTCGTTTCCATACAAGGTGTCTAGGACTGCGACTAAAGGCGATATTATTGCGCTTTTCTGAACCTGAGTATTTTGACTCCACTGCAGCTCACCCCTGTCCTCGAACAAGATTGACGACTTTTGTTACGTTTGCTAACAATGTCTGGTTCACCAAGGTAGATGCAAGGAACGAAATATACCCCGCACAGAAAGGCGGTATGTTGCGTGGCAGTGATTAGTTGCGGAGTTTTGCAAAAAAGAGATGAACAAAAAAGGCTTTACGCATTCCCTAAGCACGTTGGCGCAAGCCACCACATTATCTCCCTGTCTGCTGTCTGCTTTAGTCTTTCAGTCAAATTTTGAACTTCGCTTCGTCCGTCTGCCTCTGGCTGCACCTGTCCGCTTGCATACTACATGCAGAAACATGCTACACACAAACACAGTGCGAGAGAAACGGACGAAGGGAAGGCAAAAGACGCTACAGAAGGAGCTCGTCACGCCATACGAATTCCGCTTCCTAAAAATCAAGGCGTTGAGAAGGAGTTGGCAGTCTGAAAGATCTAAAGGCAAGAGCCGTAGCTGCATTCGATGCGATGCACACACTAAGTTGCAGCACGTGCTTGCGCCGGGAGTACTTCGATTATTCCCTATCTTCACCTTTTTGTTGGTGTGTTCAATGTCTACTATTAACTCGTGCATGTTCTCACGCCTTGTTCGTACTTGCATGGGACGTGCAGCAACATTGAAGTTCCAGGCAAACTGTAATGCACAGCGGCCGAATACTGTGCTTACGTTACCCTCCTGAGCACTATGTCAGTAGATCTATACAGAAATTACCGGAATATCGTGAAGTAAATATAGGTTTCAAGGAAAATCCCCAAATTACGGAACTTCCGAAGGGAAGTTCCCCCAAAAATCGTCTCTCTCTATAGTATCCGTTTCCTTCGCCAGTGCGAGCAGGTCAGCCAACCCGAACCGGGTGCGTCGGTAGTATGACCTCGGTCTGGCATTAGACATCTAACCTCTGTTACTATCAAATCCCTATTAAATTACTAAATTCTGATTATGCCTTGATCGCGGAATCCTAAGATCTCTATTTTCTAAAGTGACGCAGCCTATGCTTTACTCTGGCGTCACTGCGACTGATGATCAATGTAGTGCCCATGCACTACACAAACAGTCAACAGAAAGCCCCTTTCCTCCCCGGAAAACCGCATGAATTATGGAAATCTCTTCATCAAAACTTTTGAATTTTTTTCACATCAATATTGCTTCAACGCCTGGCGACGCGGGGCTGGGCGCTCGGCCTCGAGTGCAGCCCAGGCGGTCTCTGACGCGAGAGAAGTGCTTGTGAT